TATCTATAGGCAGGTTTCCTGATGGTGACAAGAGTGGACCATGCATACCAAATGCATCCAACTATAGCCAACTATAGTCTCCTCAGAAAACCAGTTTAACAGGATGACAAAGCAGGGGAATATTAATATTTATTTATTAAAGCAAGGGAATCATTGAAATACCAGAAAAGAGAATTGGGACCTGCAGCAGTTTAGATGCAGGAATAGTGAGGAATGCTGCATGCAGTAATTTGTACATGTGTCCCTGAACACACGGGGGAATTTATCAAAACTGAAAGACAAAATCTGGAGCATATTTGCACTGCAACCAATCAGCTTCTCTCTTTCTCTGTCTCATTTTCAAATCCGAATCAGCAAACTGAAGAGAGATGCTGAATGGTTACCATGGGCAACTGCTCCAGATTCTGTCTGCTCGTTTAGATAAATTCCTCCCCCCCTCCGTGTTGCGGTGTAAAAAAAATAAAAAACAGTGCATGCACTACTCTTTTCAAACGCACCACTTCGGAAGGAGGTGAGAAATGCATGCAGCAATTTGCAGGTATACCACTGAACACAAAGCATCAGTTTAAAGGCAGGAAAGATGAGAAATGCTGCATGCAGCAATATGCAAGTGTGTCACTGAAGACAAAGCAGCAGTTTGGATAGAAAGAAGGTTTTCTAGTGTACGGCTATTCTAAATGTAAAAGGCTTCCACACAGTGGTGTTGAGGGACTATGGGGTTCCGGAAAAATACGTGTATCCTGTATCTTCTCCTGGGGAAATCTTTCTCACTCCTCCAGTCCATTCTCATAAACAGAAAAGCAGTGTTAGTTTAGAAGCCTGACGCTGCAGGTATCCTGCAGGAGGAAATGATTACCTCATTTACTAATGAGCCGTGAGAAACACAGAAACACTATCATGCACATGAGTTCTTAGCAATTGCTCTGCAAAGCAGTACAATCTGTTAAAGGAATACATTAAACACCTAATTTAATTACATTTGGAAGAACAGAAAAACCTATTGAGAGCACTTTGTATGATTACTGATGTAAGCTGAATGGAGCAGGCCTATTGATCTTATCAACTCCCTTTTTAACTGAATATCACAGATTGATTTATCTGTATCAGAATTTCTTCTGATTTGCTTTCAAACGCTTATGTGTATTGTAAGTGGCTGGCTAAGGATAAGTCCAAACTAAACCAGTTATGTGTGATATTTAATACATTCAAGTAATAATAATATAATATAAAACTACAGACTAACAAAATGTATAGTGCAGTATGGTGGCTCAGTGGTAAGCACTGCATTCCTAGAGCTTTGTTACATTCCATAACGTGAATTAATTTGATGAATAAAGATGGTACAGGGCTGTAGCAGCCATGAGGCGAGTGAGGCGAATGCAGACGCAGCTGAGAGGGGACAGCCTGGCTGCACCCTCTCACCCCTGTTGCCATGGCTAGCACAGGGCGCCATGGCAACAGGGGCGCCAAGCGGCCAACACAGCCACGGTTCAGTAGGAGGAGGAGCGGCACTCGCTCCAGCTTTTCAACTAATCCCTGCTGCTCTCCCACGCCTAAATGGGTAGAGGCAGCGGGGATCAGAGGAGAAATGGAGCGCTGCAGCCGGCGGATGAGGGAGCTGTCAGAGGATGGCCAAGCGGTGAGGAGAGAGCTGCTTGGCCAGGATCTGACAGCTCTCTCTACTCACCGCTCGGCCATCCTGAAGTGACAGCGCTCCCTCCTCTGCGTCCCCCCCCCCCCGGCTTCAGCGCTCCCTCCTTGGCCCCCCGCTGGCTTCAACGCTCAGGATGGCAGAGCGAAGGATCGGTAAATATCTGTGATATTTATGGATCCTCTGTGCATAGCAAACACTGGAGTGATCAGCTGTTAGTACTATGTGTCCCCAGTTACGAATGAACAGGAAGTGCTTTACATCACTTCCTGTTCATTCATGAGTTTCTCAATGGGTGGAAGCACTCACTGCAGCTACAGAGGCTTCTACCCATTGATAACTTGTTGAGAGTAAATATTTACTAGCATCAGTTTGTGAATAAACAGGAAGCCTCTGTACTGAGAGCTTTCCATTAATTTAGAACAGGGGCTGCAGAAAAAGAGATCAAGGACTCTGTGTCCTCAATTTCTTTTTCGGTTTCGAAAGGGAAATGTCAGGGGTCTGTTTAGGCCCCAGATATTTCCCCCTCAAAAAAAACCTCCCCTCCCCACACACGTACACAAATTATAAAACATGTGCGTGTGTTTATACCCACATAGACATGTAAATGCCCCAACCATTTAAACATGTATAATTCACTACTTACTACTTCTACTGAATTTCCCTTTAGGTGGAATTGGAGTTAAAACAGTAACCTCAGTTCCAGCTGTCATATGCAGTAGGTTAATGCTCCCACCTTCAGGCCCCAGTCTACTATGTAATGATTATGTATTATAAATACATAGGCAGACATCCAGGCAGTGCGATGTAAAGCAAAAAAACAAGGATGTAAAAATGTAGTAACATATAAAACATACCCATCAGATTTCAGCTCAATATAGTCAAAACAGTTAAAAAGGTATCTGTGGTCAAACACTAAAAATAAATATGTATTTCTATATTGAATTTCCACAAGTTCTATCCCACTCCCAATATCCATTTCCATCTATAAACCTGTAAAACTTACTTACTGAAGATGCCCAAAGGATGTACTTCCTCAATGCACTGACATCATTTCACTCAGCCCTGTGTATATGTACCTTGTGTCACAGCTCTCACAGAGCCTGCCTTCTGCTACAATTCAACATTTAAACAATGTAATATTATCATTGCTTGCAGGAAGCAATGCATGATGGGAAATGTCATCTAGATAAATCAAAATTGCATCATATCAAGCAGCAGGGAAAGAGTTGGAAAGCACACTGGAAATCCAGGAAGTGGGTGAAAGTGATGGGCAGACAGAAGGCAGCACTCACTACATAAAACTGATTTTTTTTTTCAAGTAACGTTTGATTGCATTATCAAAAACAACTATAGTAAGTATTCCCATTACAACAATGAGGTTATAACAGGATAGTATATGCTGGGACTTTAAAACTCCTTCAGGAGATGAACTCTGCTTTATTGCTATGGGTTAATGCACTTCATCATTGCATTTCCCTCCAATATATTAATTAGCCAGTGACAAAACGTAAATGTGTAGGTCAGAATTCAGGAAAGATTATTAGAATGCAGCAAGTATCGCACATCAAAAGAAATGAGGCAAATGGAGGTGAGCCTGATACGCTGCGATAGGTTTCACTGCCAAAGTATAAATGAGCTGCTGTAGTGATCAGACAGTCACAACAATCTGCTGGCGAGCACCAATAAACCTGCTGTAGTGTAATGCAAAGGAACATTCAGGCAGCAAATTAACTGATGTCAGCAGAGGGCTCATCAATATCCCTGGCAGGGACAACACATGGTACAAAGCCCTGCAGGCTAGTTACATGCAACTCCACATTTCTGGCAACTAGTAACATCCCTTAAATATGTATTCTTTATATACAGGTAACAGATGTAATCTCTAGAATTTAAAACGCCTCTTGACAAAACAACACATACAGTATAAATATTTAAAAAAAACTATGCATCAGTCAATCATCACATTAGCCATTTGCAGTGAGGAATCCTGGGTCTTACACATTTATTTTAAATTCAGATTTTTTTAACAATTTAATTTTTCTTTATAATACTGAGCAGTCCTTTCAAAGAACAACCAGTTATAACTGCTCAGATGTGTTTTAAGATATTGCATGACCTCCCAATTTAATAAAGAACTTAATCAGGGCGTTTTAAAATTTGGAAACACTTGAGAAGAAAGACGTGTTCCAGGCTGAGGATTTCAACTAATGCCCAAGTCCAGCTCTGCTCTCTGGTGCGGAACGCCAAAATGCTTCCAAATAATAAAAAAAAAATCTGAGGCTGGTAGGGGTTCAGCCTTTTTTATGCTATGGTTGAGGGAGCAAGGAAAAAAAAATAAATAAAAAATTACGGTGGCCTAGAATTTCATTATTAGTCTGGTTTCTTTGAAATGAAAGGAAGTATATGTTTAATTAAAAAAAAAAATGAAATGTAAAAATGAAAGGAAGCTCATTTGTACACAGTTTAAAAGTAATATTATTCTATGTCATTTAAGAATTAACCAATAGGCTTAAAGAAAACCTGTCACCAAACCACTATTCCAACTAAGCGTATCAATAAAAAATGCTAGTCATTAGATCTAGATATATTAGGTAGCAGATATGCACACCTCATGTTTGCTGAGCCTGGTTTCCATCACCTTCCAACCTCCTGAGCCTACCTAATGGCCATTTAATGTGGTGGGATTTTCACTGACCAGTAGGGAGGAGGTAGGGCCCAAGTTTGACTTTCACTGGAAAGTCAAGTTTATTTTATACATTGTCGGCTGCTTAAATCTTTGAATATTCTGAATGATTTCACATTTTCATTAGGTCACTAGAAACCATAGAAACCACTCTACTTAGACCTTTAAAAAAAAAAAATCATATTCTTAGTTTGGATCGCCTTGATTGACAAAAGGAATACTTTAGGACACCTTAATCACACCAACTGAAATGTTAATAATAGGTACCCAGGTACCCTTTTAGAAGTGCATATTATGATTCCCAAAAAATCCCAAGAAAATCTCTGCAGCCGATAATGGATCTTTACCATTTCTTTAGAGATCCTGCTACAATTGTAATGAGCGTTGCCATAATATTTTTCGTAATTCCTGCTGTTATCAGAAATTCCCCCTCATACAGCAATTGTAAGTCATCATCATGCTATCTACAAAGCATGCATATCAAGGTACAAGGATGTTAAAAGGTCCTAATGTGACAATTTAGAACGCAGTATTATGACATGACTGATTCTATGTGCACATTTGGACATACAAATGTCGGGATTTGGTAGTGAGACTGTCACAGTAAACCTCCAGTTAATGTGCCATTCACTTGTACTTTGCAGGAAAGAGTTCTGCTCTTACCCTTCTACGAAGTCTATCACGCTCTTCTCGAATAGCACTCATTGTAGACTTGGTCCTGTTGAGGTCTTCTTCTTTGCTGCAAAGCATAGCAGTGAGGCTCTCATTCTCTTCCCGATATCCAGCTAGCTCCTTCTCCCATCGCGCCCTTTCTTCTGCCAGGTTAGGATACAATTCACGGCCCAGCACCCCTTCTATTTCCTCCACAGTCTGACAATAAAAATCCAAGCTCATTTTACAACAAAGAATACATTGTTTCAAACAATTTCAGCTGAATGAACAGCCACCTCAAAGTCCATGATGACCTTCTACCGATGAAGCTTTCATTGCACTTTCTCCCATGTATATTAAACTTTAGGAGGTTCATTTGTTAAAGGATACATTTTGACACTGCCCGGGTTTTGCAAGGAATAGCCAAACATGTTTAAGAGACTTGTAAATATAAAATTCATAGACGTTAATTGTTTTTTGTGAACCTATTCTCTAAATCTAAAACTGAAAGTACTATCTGATCAGGATGCTATTACCTCTCATAAGCCTCTATTGTACACTAAGAAAAAAGTCCATTTAAAAACTACCTTCCCCACAAGGTGACAAATTTCACTGCAGAATGACCAGCAATGTCATTCTTGTAAAGGAAGTGATAAAAGTAATGGATCAGCAGGGTAAACAGATAATAAAACTATGTTACAAGGGGGAAAAACATAAGCATCTGTGTTAATGCTAGTGACAGAGTACATATTTTGTTTGGCTCATAGTTACACTTTAGACCCCGTTCACATTGAGCGATTTATCGCGCGGTAATTCCCGCGATATCGCGCTCCAATGCAATCCAATGGGGCAAAGGGTCCTGCTGTCGCGGGTCGTGTGTCGCTACAGCAGGACCCTTTTTGGAGCGGATTTAGCCGTGATTCAAGCATGCTCAATGCAAGCTTGAACGCGACATCGCACGGCAAATCTCATGATGTCGCGCAATATGCAAATTGTGTGACAAACGCGCGATTTGCATATCACGCAGTGGGAACGGGGCCTTAAGGATGGGAATAGGAGGTTAAATGTTCATTATGATAAATATATTGCAACAAGGCAGCAAAGAAACAGTACAATCAACACAGTACTAAGATCATTGACGGTATACTTGATCCAAAGTATTTTATAGAACTGTAATACAGGCACTTCAGCAGTACTGGAAATTGGTTTGCTATAGTAAACTAAACAAATTACCTTGATAGCCAGGTCACAGTGCTCGCTGGCAGATGTGAGTTGCTCAATGTGTCTGTCCACATCTGCCACAGTTAAATTACAGCTGCTCTTCTTCCTCCCACACACCACATTTTCTAGACCTGTAAGTACCCTCTGCAGCTCAGAGTTCAGGTCACTGCAAGTGTCTGTTGTAGGGGAAAGGACAGTTAGAGGAAAAACAGCCACAAAAAAACAAATTATTATTAAATGTTAGATTAAAGATAAATAGATTGATTTTGCTTAATACAGAACTGGCCAGTAATTATTGAACTACTTTTTGTCTTTTTAGCAAAGCTTCAAGTGACACTAAACTCAGGAGTTAAATCTTAAAAATGTACCTTAATTATGAACAATACTGAACCTTATTTGTGCATCACTCATCTGTACTGTAGATCCTCAAAGCATCTAAGCTCACATTTAGTTTACTAATATGTATTGATATTGTAGTCCATCACAAAAGCGAACTTGGAGCAGCCGCTACTTTACAACACACACAGGAACCATGGAGAACAAAATTAGCCACCCTCCAGAAGGAAGGACAGTGTCAGCACCAATTCAGAGATGATTTGAGGATCTACCGCTGAGTGATACACAAATAAGCTACATTTAACTAAAAATAAAGCTCTGCATTCTGATATGAAATCATCTTCCATTCATTAGCTAAACAAACATTTTTTTTCTACTTTCTGGTCCACTTTGGCACAAATTATTTGATATGCACAACCATTGCATCCTGGGAAAGTTACATCAGCAGTGCATTGGTGGGAAATCTCATCTGTAATCTTATGAGATCTCAGGGAAAGGCATTTTTCTCCCGAGATGATGTGCATGGTTACATGTCCTAGTCACATGGGCCAGAGTTCCAGGAAGTAAAGGGAGCTCTATAACCTAGCCTTAGTACTGGGGAAGAAAAGAAAAATAAGGTATGCAAAAATAAAAAAAAGTCTGCAATTATCGAGAAGTATGAGTTTGTAGACTGTCATTACTAAAGGTGCCGTTGTTGTAATTTTGAAGATATGGTACTTAAATGCGTTTTTAAGATTTAACTCCTGAGTTTAGGGTCACTTTAAATAAATGCTGCTGCTTTGGTTTAGATCTACACATGGATTCCATTCACTTCCTATTCCTGCTATACAATCAACCCCAGTGTTGTCATAAGACAGCTGAGAACAGTAATGAGCCAGTCACATGAGCAGGAAAATACATTTCTTAGAATGTTGTACAATGGTTGTGTACAATGGCTACATTGCTATAATGTGTGCCCTGTTAAAAAGAAACTGCAATTGATTTTTATTTTTTTTTGCAGATTGAAATTAATTTAGCCGATTGAAATTAAAAGATTATTCTTAAATAACATCAACACAATAGCCTTTATAGAAATGACATACGGTATGCCTTTTTTTAACAAACATTTAACAAAATTGTATGTCAAGCGAAAACTTTTTTATTTTTTTTAACAGGGCTACTGGCAGCCGAATGAATAACTGAGCCGAAGTGAACAGAGCCGAACGACGTTCAATCCGGCTCAGTACGGCTGATTTTAGCAGTACATCGGCTGCCTTTAGTCAGCCGAACATGCTCTGCAGTGCAGAGGGACTTCGACTCAGCCCATCCAACATCTGGATCAGCCGAGCCAAAGCTGCGGCAGCTCACCGGCTGCCGTTTGCCCCTATTCTCAGGGGCCGAACGGCAGTGAGTGAATAGCCGAATGCCGCCTCCGAGGTACCGAGCAGAATAGAAAATAGGTGAAAAATAGTGACAAAAAAAAAAAGGGATGAAAAATAATGTAAAAAATGAAAATAGGAGAACTAAAATATATATATATATATACACACACACACACATATATATATATGCACATTAAATATATA